AAGGAGGAGGGGCAAGATGGAGGCGGAGGGTTAAAAGGTACAAACTATAAGGTATAAAATAAACTACAAGGATGTATTGTACAACATGGGGAGTATGGCCAATATTTCATAATAACTATAAGTGAATTATAACCTTTAAAAACTATGAATAACTATATTGTATACCTATAACATATAATATTGTACATCAACTATACTTCAATAAAAATATTGTAAAATAAATACGTAAATAAAGTTAAAAAAAACCCTCCCCCCAAACCCCAAAACAAACAAACAAAAAGGAATATGTCTCATGTTTCACAATTAAGAATGAGGTTTGCTGTTGGTTTTTGTAGATATTATTTATCAGGTTTTAAAAGTATCCTTTTATTTCTAGTTTGTTAAAGTTTTTTATCATAATTATTAAATTCCACAAATGTTTTTTCAGCATCTGTTGAGATACTTTGTCTCCTTTAACCTGTTAATATGGTGAATACCATTTATAAAGTTTCTAATTTTGAATTATTTTTGCATTTCCGGCATAAGTACAATTTGGTCACGATATATATCCCTTTGACACATTCCTGGATTCATTTGCTTATATTTTGTTTAGGGCATTTTGCATCTATATTCATGAGATTGACTCATAATTTTTTCCCTCATACTTTTCTTGTCTCATTTTGTAATCAGGGTTTCACTGGTCTCATACAGTAAGTTCAAGAGTATTCACTCTGTATCTATTTTCAGAAAAAGTTTATATAACATAGAAATTATCTGTTCCTTGAATATTTGGTAGGACTCACTTATAAGTGCATTTGAGCTGATATTTTCTTTGTAGGAAGATTTTAATTTCTTTTTCTAATTCAATTTCCTTAATGGTTACAAGATTATTCAGGCTTTTAAATCCTTTTTTAATAAGTTTTAGTAAGATATATTTTTCTAAGAATTTTTCTACTTTGCCTAAGTTTTCAAATTAATTTTGTTCATATTGTCACCTTATTTGTTCTGTCTATACTGGATCAGTAATTATTTTCTCCTTTTTTATTCATAATATCATTTATGCATTTTTTAATCTTTCTCCATGACCAATCTCACTAACAATTTCCTTTTTAAGTAGTCAGAGAAATAACTTTTGGCTAGTTGATCCTCTGTATTATATTTTTCTTTCTCTATTTCACTCATTTTTACTGATCTCTCTATTATTTCATAATTTCTATCTCATTTGACTTTGCTTGATTGCTCCTTTTCTAACGCTTTAAGTTGGATGCTTTCCTCTTTAATTTGCAACCTTTCTGCTTTAAATATAAGCATTTAACGCCGTAAACTTTCCCCTTAGTGACATTTTTGCTGCATCTTGTAAGTTTTGACAGAGCATGTTTTCATGTGCTAACTAGATATCTGTATCCCTTCCTTGGTGAGGTGTCTGTTCAGGTCTGTTGACCACTTTCTAATTCGGTTGTCTGTTTTTTTTATTGTTGAATTTTAAGAGTCTTTTGTATATGTTGGATAACAGCACTTCATCAGATACATCTTTTGCAAATATTTTCTTGCAGTCTGTGGCTTATCTTTTCATTCTGTTGATACTATCTTTCAGAGAGCAAGAGTTTTTCATTTTAATGAATTCCAACTTATAATTATTTCTTTCATGGATTGTGCCTTTGGTGTTGTATCTTAAAAGCACTGGCATACCTAAGGTCCTCTAGATGTTCTCCTGTTATCTTCTAGGAGGTTTAAAGTATGATGTAGGCTTAAGTTTTGAAATTTCTATCATAATTTCTTCTTTAATACATGATTTATTAAGAAGTATTTTTAATACACAAATGAAGGGAATTTTATATAACTTTTCACTATTGCCTTCTAATTTAATTTGTGTCAGAGAATGGAGTCTGTATGATAACAATGCCCCAAAATACATTGAGCTTTACTTTATGCCCTGGTCAATAAACATAGGTCAATTTGGGGAGAATGTTTCATATATTCTTTGGAAAAATAAGCATTCTTTAATTGGCATAGACCTTTATATATTTTCAAAAATGACGCTTGTATGTTAAACTATTAAAATCTTGCAATTCTTCACTATCTTTTTAAGTCTGCTTGACCAATTGGTAATTGAGAGAGAGATGCTGAGATCTTCCACTGCAAAAATAGATTAGTAAGTTTCTGTCTGTAACAGTATCAATTTTTACTTCAAATATTTTGAGGTTAATTCATTAGATATGCATAATTCAATTTTAGTTTTGTTTTTTGGTTAAAAAAATCTTTTAATATTATGTAGTTACCCTTGTAGTAGACACTATTGAGGCTCCATTTATAACTCTCCAGAATTTTCCTCTACACTGAAGGCTGTTTTCCATACTATATTGTAATAATTTGCTTACTTATCTGTCTTCCTGCATGAGACTGTGTCTTTGGTACAGAGACAAAGGGGTTATGGTATAGCTACACTGTTTCCCCAGTGTCTAGCACAGAGCACGGTCCATGGTAGATTAAGACATGTTTGTTGAATAAATGAACATCTGAATGAATGACTGTATAAATGAGTGAGTATGTGAGTGATGATTTTGAAACTGACAACTTGGGATTTCCAAAAAGGGTGAAGGATGATGGAGGCAAATGAGAAGAAAAAAGAAAACGGAAATAAACGGTATTTTTAGGCTGTTTGTTTTGTTCTCCTTGATTAAGTGGAATAAAGTGGTCATTTCATTTCATCAAAAGTTTATTGAGCATCCAGTATGTGCTAGGCACTCTGCTAGATGCCAGTAATACAAAGATGAAGGTCAAAAATCAAAACAAAGCAAAACAAAACCACTTCCTTACTTAACACCCCCCCAACCCCATCCCCAATTTAAGGCAGATTTGGCTTAAGCCTGGGAAGCCGGCCCCTCAGAGATTCAGCACCAGGGTTTGGAGTACAATATGTCCTCATCTCACCTTAATCTTTACCCTTGCCTCCCAAGGCTGAGTCGCAGGTACCCTTCTCCAAGTCCTTCCTGCATCTCCCACCTGCCTGAGCAACTTTCCCCTGCATGCATTATCTCCTGGATGAGGCACCTGGGGAAGTTAGGGGAGCAGTTCTGGCTAAGGAAGGGGAGCTGCAAAGGCACACCTGCTCAGATGAACCTGGGGAACTGGGATGTCCAGGTAAGGGCAGAGGGGGCCAACTAGAAATGTTGTTGCCCTTGGGGCTGGGACAAAACTTTCCCCAGTGTGCAGTATGGAGTGGTGGGGAACAGGGACCTTGAGAGTTTCTCTGCAGGATGGTGCAGAGTCATAGCTGGAGCTTAGGAATTGGGGAGGGGCTACAGATGCACTAGAGGCATCAAGGAAGAGAGGTCAGAACACACAGAGGGCCTCCTTCTCTTTCAGCTTTTTAATTGCCCTCTCTCCTTACACAGTAGATTATTGTCTTTCTTACAAACTGTTCAAGATGCGGTGGCATGGGCATGGGCTGGCTACGCAATGAACCAACCTCTCCATCTTCTGATGGTTGTGTGATTAGGGAGTCTGCCCTTGCTCTGTCTCCTGGATTTGAGCATCTGGGAGCAGGGCAGGTGAGAGGCCAGAGGCCAAGGGTTAGATCATGTCTCCAAGACATGATGGGGAGCAATAAACCTCCTCCTCCCCCACCGTTTCCGGGGAGAGTCGAACTTTATTCTCTTAAACCTGGAGGAATCCCGACAACCTTTCTCGGGGATAATGATTGTTTAAAAGGCTTGTTTTGTACAAAGTCAGGGAGAAGACATAGGATTGAGGGGTTAAAAGACAGTTCTTCACTTGATCTAGCTTTCTGGGCCCGGGGAGTGAGTGAGAAGCCCCTTCTCAATGGAATAGAGACGGAAAGAATGCTGGGTACGCCACTGAGGGAAGCTTTGGGAGGAGGTCAGGCGTGGGAGGCTTGAATCCTCTGCCCTTGCAAGAACCCTCCGCCCCCTCCCCCGGTGGCGGGCTGGGGAGCGCAAAGGAATGTACTTGAGATCCTCCTTCCCAACTGTTAGGCACCCAGGTACCAGATGCCTGAGAAGGGTGCTCCAAGGCACTGCCTTCACAATGATTCCCTGTACACCCAGGAAAGGGCATCCGACCTCCTCTCAGTTTAGGACAGTTGTGCGTTTAGGGAAAGTGGCCCCTCTAATCTGGGCTTGCCAAAAAAAGTGCCCCAGGAACCAGGAGTTCGTTTGGAGGGAAGGGAGATGAGTGGGAAGTTTGAGAGCGCCCTAGGAAGGGCACAGGATAGTCAAGGGAGTTAGATTACTGATGTTAGTTTCCATAAGACCCTCGGGGAATCGGGCTGGAAATTTAATAATCTATATGGTCCTAAGAGGGCACAACCCATACCCCCTGAGAACACAGCCAGTGAACCGGGAGCAAATGCAACCCGATTTCACCATCAGACCTACTCTCCGCCGCCCCGCCGCGTCCCCAAATCTGCGCCTGTTCATGTTTGTCCATGGGCCGA